TTTGAAGAGCAGGTTGCTGGGAGCTGAGGCAGAGCCACCTCGGAGCAGCAACGGAGAGCTGTGATCTCTGGGCATCCCATCTGGCATGCAGCTAGAGCTTACACAAGCAGTGCTGTATCAAGAGGAAGCAATGAGGGCTAAGGAAGTGCTTGCTCAGTGGAGATCCTGTTTCACTGACATTTCACCCAGCTTCACTTCCCCTTTGGAGATCCAAGGTCAGACCTGTGTGTGTCCCCTGGGGCTGCTCCTGCTGCTCTCCCAGATGCTGTGCTGGCTGAAACACAGTGTGTGCTCACCTTTCCTTTCTCCCCCACTTATGTCCTTCATTCTCATCACTGCTCAGGAACAGGAGATGCCAAGTGAAACAAGGGTTACAATAGGTGTGTGACTGCTTCAAGTCAAAATGAGAAGGGTAGATGCATCTGAAACCTCTCGATGCATCTGAAACCTCCAGGAAAACAAGGTCCTGTGTGTCTCCTGAGGTTTATTTCCTCAGAGCAGTGGAGGCAGTGAGTATAAAGCAAAAATAAAACCAAATGACCTCAGCCTTGGCCTTGTTTCTCCTGTCCTCCTTTGGTCCAGTTGCTCAGCACAAACTCTAGCAAGTTGGGTGCAGATACCCAAGGTCTGAAGAGAGGTTCAGCTCTTTGGCCTCTGCTGAAGCGACAAAAGCTTCTTCACTCCGGCAAAACCTGAGCACTAAGGAGGTGCCGTGCACTCAGCAAGCAGAAAGGGTGTCCTGAATGGTGCATGGAGGTGTCTGTGAGAACAGGCATTCACAGCGCTGCCTTCTGCCTCTGCACAGCACCTCAGGCAGCTTTGGAAGCGGTGCTGCAGAGAAAGAGCAAATTGCTACTGGGAAAAGGAGTCACTTGGAAAGCACAAGTCATGTTTCCCAAAGATTTCAAGAGAAGAGGGCTTCCAGGATCCTGGTTTTCAATAGGTGGATGTCCATTCATTCCTACATATAAAGTTCCTCACTTACCTTTCACACCCTGCAGGGATCCTTCCTTTAAATCACTCTTACAGTAGAGGATGGAGGAAAGTGAACTGTTCTCAGTTCCACCAGTTTGGCTTTTATGGGCCATGCTGAAGCTGTTTCTCCTTGAGGGACTGTGTTGTATTGTCACAAAGCCAGCACTTTCTATCTGCCTTATCTCCCACAGGTAAGAAACATGGATTCAGCCTCAGGGCAGGTGGCTTGTTCTCCTGGTTGGGGAGCAGATTGTGAAATCCTCATTTGTACTCCAACTGATGAATTTCTTGAGATCCTGCTTTCCATGGGCAAGAACGCACCTTCCAGCCCTGAAAAAGGGAAAAATAACATCCCAAACCTTGCAGAGACAGCAGATAAAGGGGAACAGCACACACCGCTTGGGTGTACTCTGCTCTTTGGACACCGCTCCCACTGGATGTTATCACCAGGTAGGTGTTGCACAGCCATGAGCGCTGTATGCACAGCCTCACCTTATGCTGCAATTACCTTTATGTTTTGTTAATGGGTAGAAAAGCTATCCTTAAATATTGCTTAAGTTATCCCAACATCCTTAAATATTCCTATTTTGTAAACAATTAGTCAGGGAATAGGCAGGAATCCTTGTGAATCGTAGAATCACAGACTGGTTTCTGCCCTTGAAGGTCTCTGCTTCCCTTTGCCCTCTCCTCTCCACCACGGGGAGTGCCAGGAGCTGATGGGCACACACAGCAGGCACGGTGCCCACAGGCTTTCCAGGCAAACGCTGCTGATGCAGCTTCCAACCTCCTGCCAGGGCCTGTGGGTGGTTATTAAAGCACATGCTTGGAGGACTCTGAAGCTTATCCTTCAATTACCTTCCACGGCCCTGGCTCTCCAAAACTAGCATTTACTTTTTAACCTCCGCTCACCTTTACTTTAGCACCAGGAGCCTGCTGCTATCTCTTGGTGTAAAGGCCCCTCACAATGCTCATCCACTCTCCTTACAAAGAGGATTGCTTTGTTTTGGCCCCTGGTTGTCTTGGTTGGCTTAAATTAGGATAGTACCTGGTTGAAGGACTGTCAGAAAGGAAATTGAGGCTAGAGAATCATAGAGTGGTTTGAGGTGAAGGGACCTTAAAGCTCATTCAGTTCCAATCCCCTACCATGGGCAGGGACACCTTCCACTAGACTTGGTTGGCAACACAAAAGATCCCTCTGATTGCAGAAAAACCCTGCAGGGGGCTGGAAACACACTTAGAAGAATCAACCACGGTGCATATTGCACAGAGGTACACGGAGTGTGTATGTGCACACAGGATGGGCACAGCTCCCACTCTTCACCATAGAAGTGAGATTTTCCTTGCAGAGCATAGGCAGCCACATGCTACACAGCATCGAAAGGCAGATTCAGACAGTGAATTTTCTCACTCCTTTCCCATTTTTGCCTTCAATACCCTCAGGTGAGCATCAACCAGAAAGGAAAATACAAAACAGGGCAGAAATCCCTATACAAAGAAGCAAAGCAGGAGTGAAGAAACAAGGGAAACAAAGGAAAAACTAACTAAAGCTTACCACCTTGTGCTGCTTTCAGGTTAAGCTAGAGACGAATCAAGGCACATCCAGCTAAGATGTTGGAAGTTTTGAGTCTCTGGAGGACAGTCCCAGGAAGCAATAGCAGGATCAGGGCTCAGCCTGAAGGATGCAGCAGGGACAGGGCTCAGCCCTCCCCAGACCACAGGAGGGGAAGGGCCTTCCCCAGCCAGGACAAGCTCATCAGGAAAAGCAGCTTTGCTTTTACCTCTCGTGAAGTACAGACCTCGTCTGGTCTTTTACTGCAGAACAAGTGCCCATATTTGGGAACAGGTCTGCCCCAAATCCTCCTCTGCCGCCTCCTGTGCTAATGCAAGGGGCATTCTCTCATCTCCTGCACTATGTTTCTATATGTCTTGTTATTCTTTATACCGTGCCAACATCTCTGGTGACTTTGTGTCCTTCAGGCCATGGACCTTCTTTTTAGGACCCCTCCAAGCCCCAGCTAAACAGCAGAGAAACTTTCAGCAAGTCCTTCTGCTCCATTTCCAGAGCAACCAGTGGAGGCTTACCTGATCCAGCTCACCTCCTGCTGCTGGGGAGCGAGCTCAGCTCCCTCCTCCTCTTCACTGTCCTTTGTCTGCCACCATCCCACTCTGCCCCGTGCGAGGTCTCCAGTCCCACAGCCCCAGCCTGTGCTGGGGAAGGTCACTCTCCTCTCTCCATCTCCTGGGCAACATGGGCTAACCAGGCGCAGCTCAGCCAAGGCAAGGAGCCTGCACCTCCGCATTGCCTCTCATGAGCTGCAAGCACCAACTTGCAACATCTCCCTGGTTCATGTGACTTCTGCCCTGGGCTGTTTTCACAAATGCGGTTTAACCCTCTGAAGTGCTTCCCCACCAAAGCCACAGCCATGGGAGCAGATCCTGCCATAGGAGGTATCCTCACCTCTGCAGGGCTGGGGTCCAGAGCTGCACCCTAAAGGCAGTGAAGAGCTGAAGTCGCACAGACAGAAGGCTCTTCTACTCCTCCTCAATCAGCTGGGCAGGACTCACAGAGTAAAAGCCCCAAGGCTGCATCAGATTAGTTGCTGTCAATACAGTCAAAGCCAATCCTCAGTGCGAGGGCTGGAGAAATGAGAAGAGGTGAACAAAGATCTCAAGGCTGAGAACGAGTCACTGTGTATCTAGCAATAGGTCATGTTAAAGTGCAGAGATGCAGGAATAACACAAGGTAAGAGCTGCACCCTCCTTGCACAGGAGGCTGTGATGGTACAGACAGAGGATGGGTGCAATTTTCCTCGCTGGATGCTGGACTCAGAATAAAAGCAGCAGGGTCAGACCCAGGGTCAGACAGGGCCACCAAGACACCTTCACGTGCTGGAGAAGTCATTTGCATTCATGTGAAGAGACAATACTGAGAGACACCACAGGGAAAAAGGCTTATCAGCCTGGGAATTTCAGTTTCATGGCTAGATGATCCATGGAGGCTGGGAATGGAGTGAATTGATCATCTTAGTGACTGTTGTCCTTGGCAAATGGTTTAACAAGAAAAGAAAGCAGCTTCCTGCAGTGCCTGTGTTCACTTCCTGGAGAAAACACAGTTCTCCTGTAGGGATGGATTTCTGCAGCCCAACCTGCTCCAGACATTGCTGAGCAATGTGTTCATTGCACCAGGAATGGGAACAGAACTGACTCCAAAGCCATTTAACCCACATGGGATCTTGCTACACTGGAAACTGGCACCTTGCATATTAACATCATCCTGGTATTGAGAAAAATCAGATAAACCTTCTTGTTGCTGTCTCCAGCTCAAATCCCCACCCAAGATCGGGCCATGCAAAACTTCAGGTTCTGTTGCAAACGCTTCTCATTAAAAGCTTTGGCTTCGGTTCCTCCCCTTTTCACCCACGCAGAGATTCTGACGGAGGGAGAACATTGATGACCAAAGTGCTTAGAAAGAGCCCTGTCAGCTCGCTGCAAGTAAAAGCCTGAGGCAAAGCTTTGTGGGGGTAATAAACTTGAAAACCACATTCATAACCACCTGCAGCATGTACACCACACACCTCTGGTTCAGCAAGGTATGTGTGGACGGGTTGATCTCGGCATCCACACCTCATCCCATAGCACAAGCAGAACAATGCTGCTCATTTCGGATGGGTGTTGGGGGGGAAACTTATTCCAAATTTAAAGCAGTTGCTGTTTTGCTGCTCTGAAGCAGCAAAAAAGGCCACACTATTAAACCTTTAGAAACTTTTAGACTGACAGACTTTCTCTCTGAAGGTTTTCAAAGCATCTGCTTCACTCCTATCCATGGAACAAAGGAGGAAGCGCCACAGCAGCTTAAACCAACCTACATGGACAGCAAGGGCTTCGGTTGTTCTTCTGAGATGTTTTTCCACCTAAGCACCTCCCTGAACTTGCAGCTCTGGCCCAAAGGAGATGATGGATCTGCAGGTGGGGCTCTAAGAAGCCAAGGTCTCCCAGCTTGACTCTTCCTGACCTCAGCAGTCATCAAGCCACATGCTCAGAAACCTTTGGCACGTGTTAGCTTTCTGACCATCTTATTTGGGGCATAATCTTGATGCTTTTTTTTTTTGTTGAGATCCTACCAGGTTCATTCTCAATCCAAGCAGGTATCCTATAGCCACAGGTCCCACAGAATAGTCTATAAAATATTCATTGATTGATATATTCCAATAAACACCACATTTTAGATTTTAGCTGGACAATAAGCTGCTATTGTATCTGCACATATGCCTTTTGCACTTCTGAAATGCAAAGCTGTGACTGTAACACTCCTATGCCACCTATTAATGGCCTTACCAAAACATCAGCATGAGAAATTTAACTCTCTTAAAGACAAGAGACAGAATTGTAATTAGCAGCAAATACAAAGTCAAGCAGTAAACTGGAAAGGAATTTGGAGAGTCAGGTAAAGGCTCACAAGAACAAGGATCTATCTGATGGCAAAACAGAGGGATGATGCTGGCAGGATCCCAGCGCAGACTGGAAATGCTTGTTTGACAGAGCCCATAGAATCAGAGTCTGGTTTGAGTTGGAAAGGACCTTAAAACTCAACTGGTCCCAACCCCCTGCCACAGGCAGAGACACCTTCCACTAGAGCAGGTTGCTCCAAGCCCCTGTGTCCAACCTGGCCTTGAACCCTTCCAGGGATGGGGCACCCACAGCTTCCCTGGGCAACCTGTGCCAGCACCTGAGCACCCTCACAATGTTTCAGAGTTTCTGCAGTGCTGTATAGCTGGATATTGATTTCTTGGGTTTGATTTCACCTTTCTTTGTTCATTGTTACACTTCTCTTCAGGGAGTCTTTTGCTATTGGTTTCAGATCATTTCTTCTCCCATTTATCAAGATCATTTTGAATTGTAATTCACTCCTCTGTACTGTCTGTATCCCTTCCCAGCTTGCTGCTCTGGAGATGTAACTGTACTGCCCATTCCATCGTGCTGCAGTAATTAATATATTACACAGAACCTGATTCCAAGGGAAAAAATACATCTGCCATTTGAAGCTCTTTCCCAGAGTGACAGCAACCCCTGATGCCTCCTGTCCTCAGGGATAACCTCATCCTCTATCATATTATCAAGGGGGTTGGAACTAGAACATCTTCAGGTCTTTTCCAACCCAAACCATGTATACTGACATGTATACTCTCTAGTCCGCTTTTTGCTATCCAATTCCTAACACCATATTCTCTCTATATTTACTAAATGGTTTGATAAACTTCACTGGTTTGCAGTATTGGAAAGGTTGATAACACATCTCTTAGTCCTGCTTTATTCTGCACATGGTTGCAGTTTCTCCCTGCTCACATCTTGTCTGTGGCTCAGCAGCAGCCAGCCCAGGTGGATCTCATTTGTTTTGATGAAACTGCATTTTCAATGGGGATCTGCTCCATCATCTTTTATATATCACTCCCCAGTGAGCTTTAATTAGGAGAACAAAGTGTGTGAAAGCCTTGTCTTGCTCTTCCCATCTCTTCCTGCACTCCAAGTCTCCTTTCACACACTCTGGGTTAGGGTTTGTCAGACAGCTCAGCAATGCTGACAGATTGACAGTCATTAAATATAAAACCTTCATTTCCCAATATCCCTAAATTACACATTTCAAGTGAAAAATGACACTTGCTTAAGGCATAAAGCGTGGTTCTCGTTTTTCCCCCCCACACTTCTGCCCTTTTCCTATGAAGACTTAAAGTATTTTTCTTTTTATTATGGTAATGTAAAAATCTCTTTCTTGCTTCTCAAATGAGAAGAGGGGAAGCTTGCTATGTGCCTTGGCTAATGATTCAGCTATTGATCCAGAAGATGCTTTATTAGATTGAGACAGCCAAATGTAATTTAATAGCTATTTATTTTCTATTCCTATGTCAGTCAGAAATACAACCTTTCCTGCACGAAATTAATACTTCCTACTTTCAACCTCAAAGAAAGATTACACTGCACCTTTCTTGGATTAATTTGGGGAACTTTTTCAACAAAACACTGATCTTGAGGGGTCTGGATCATCTCTTAATACTTTGAAGCCAAAATCTCAGCTGGGATCAGTCTAGGCTTGTCTTTCTTACTAATGCAAGAACTAGCGGTGTCAGATAAAAGGGAAAAAGATTCCAGATGAGGAAAATAGAAACAAAGAGCTAAAAATGAGCAGGCTTCATACAGGCAGAGAGAAGGAAGAGGAATCTTTTTACATAGTTAACTGTAACCTACAGATGGGACTGCACGATGGTACAGCAGAACGGCCAAGAGACGACCTCCAACAAAGATCATAAGGAGTTGTGTAGGGACCTCAAAGGCAGGAGAATGAGGAATTTAAGGTTGCCCAGTTTGGATTTACACACTGGAATACCTTCAATTTCTCATTTATGTATGGCCTAGTAGCCTGTCACCACAAGGTAGAACAAGGAATGGCTCCTTGAACTTCAGCAGCAGCCACAGCCCCAAGTAAACGTAGGGTCCCCTCTTGTGGTCCTGACACTGTCCAAATGGAGCTGCCAGGGGAGATCCTGATGAAGCCCTGCAGTCACAATTAAGGAAAGCTTTCCCAAACTCCTGGACTCCACATCTGGGGTTGTGAGTGATTCCCCACCTTTATTTCTCTGGATCCTGGAAAGGAGGAAGGGAAAAGGGCACGGGGGTATCTTTAGAGTGGAAAATTACTGTCTCTGAAAGAAACAAAACAAAGTCAAACCATTCAAAACGCTTCTATAAAAATAATTGATGAATGATTGTTCTTATGTCATAGGAAGTCTCATGAACCAAAGGCAGAAGGAAGCATGCTCCCTTGCCATTCCACACAGAATAAATCCTCCAGCAGCAGCACTGTGTTGCTCCTCACAGGAGCACACAAGCTATGAGTGACTGGGGAGGGACTTCCCTGCCATCACTGCACACACATTTCATCCTTCCTGTTCATCACCCGCCCTTTCTCTCATGTTTTTGCATTAAACTACAACAAATGCTCAGGGGATCAAACCCATACTGGCTCTGAACTGACCAAAAGTTATCAAGCATCAACAAGCACCATCAGGCAGAGCAGAGGTGATAGATCAAATAGGGATCAGGGGCCTTGATTTCCCCTCACCCCTACCTTCCCAAAGGGGTCTTGAGCTCTTTAACTGCTCTTCACCTCCTTCATTCAACAGACAACAGATGCTGACCTTCAGCCCAGAGGCAAGTGAGGATCAAGCCCTGTCAGCGAAGATGAGGCTTAGAAATTGAACTGTGGCTCCAAGCAGCACAGAAGTGTGTCCTAATTGTACCTCATGCCGCCTGTTAAGCCATCCAGATGACACTCATGTTCTGGTGTCAATAAGCCATTTGCCCATCTGATGCTTATATAGATGACACACCTGCCCAGTGTGTAAAAGTGAGAACTGTTAACTCTATAAATATACACATAATGTCTGAAGATACCCCACAGAAATCAAGTCCAAACTGATGATGATGAACATGGACGTGACTGGAGCTGAACTACGCTGTGCAAATCCCAATCAGCCCCCAGGAAAGTGCTGATTCACAAGCAGTTTTAACCAGGAGAAATCAACATTAATAGCCACTCACTAGACATAGTACAAACAAGACGGAAGTTCTGAGTGCTTCTTACCTCCACACAGCCCCAGGACTCTAAGCATCCTAGCAGTCAGCTGCTCTTTCCAGGGATGAGAGCTCAAATTCAGGGAATCAGACAGCAGTACATGTGCCCAAAGCAGCTTCTGGCCCTTTCAGAGGTACAGAGCAAGCTATGGATTGTGTACATGGGGCCACATCTACAAAGGATTACGGAGGCAGATCAGTAGCAGGACAATTCAGAGACAGATTTGTACTTGGGGCTTACTCAAGTTTTTACTCTTACTGCAGAAAGTCTAGAAAATCAGATTTTAGATGCAAAAAGCCCCATGTCCAATTCCATACTGTCAGTAGAAGACTATTCCCTGCAGCATGTTTTTCTGGCCTAGTCTGGCTTGTGCACAAAGACAGGAGTAGGTCTCCCTTTCCCAAAGCATCTCAGTGTAATATGAAAGAATCTTAACTTAAAATAAAACATCTACACTGTGAGCCTTCCTGGAGAGCAATAATGAAACAGTTCAATTCAGACTTACAGGGTCAGGTAGCTCTCAACAGTTCAGTTTCAGGAAAGTATTACAGAGTATTGATAATCTTGCAACACACTGAAACTTGTGCATCTTCTAAAGGGAGCGTCTTTCATTCACACCACCTTTGGCAAAAGGAAATAATCAGGGAAGGGTTTTTTCCTTTAAGGATAGAAAGACCTCATTAAATGGACACTTAGGAACCAGTATGAGAAAGTGGGGCATGCACTGTGCTCTTTCTGGACAGTTATATCAGTCTTCAAACAGGATGAAACTGCTAATTACAGCCTGGAGGACTTTTTGAGGAGCATCATGCTGGAGCCTGAGCACCTGCTCTCAACAGGAATCAATGTTTCTTCTTCAAAGGACAGACTAGATTTAGCAGGGCTGCAACCCTTCATGAGGCCACACCATCGTTTGCCATTAGATTAGACTGATTAAAATGGCATTGATCCTGTTCTCTCTGTACTGACCTGGCTTTTTCCCTCCAGTCTGGAATGTTTGACTTTGCAGGAGGCTTTTGCTTCAATTTTACAACCCATTTAATAGTTTGAATTCCTAAAGTGATCCTTCCAGGACTACATTAGACTAACATATTACAACAGGAGACACCACAGCAGTCTGCTCTTTCACCACCCTGTGTGACTGCACGCAGACATTGGGTCCTGTGGTATGACTTTCACCCATCCTGCTCTCCTCCCTCCCCAGCACAACTGAACTCTGGAGATCTGGGGGCTTTTTGGTATTACACTGCCAGCCTGTGGAAATACAGGATTTCCTGTCTGAGGAGCAGCATCAGAAAGGTTTCTTGCATAGATCCTGAACTGCAGAACCTGGGTCTGATCAGGTGTCGACTGAGGTCTCTTTCCTACAAAAAGCCTTAAATTGGACTTAAAAAAGCAAACCTACATTTAACATTCTGCAAGTGAGAGGAAGAGGATGAAACTGCTGAAAAATGAAACTTCTGCTGTACAGCAGGATGCTGCAGGGTATGGTATGACCTTGGTATAATAAGCAGTGACTGGTGTTTGATCAATGGAAGGATAATTACTGCACAGTGCCTGGCTATCAAACTATCCCAGTGAACTGGCAGCATTTTATTTTCCCTAATGGACACAAGAACATTTGCTCCTGAAGGTTTTCCAAATGAGCTGGCAGGTAAAGCATCAGACTGAAGCCAAGAGGACAAGGCTCTGAAATGGGTTTTTAACTTACCTGCTGCGACCAAAAGACATTTGCTGTGTCTCTTACTCTTTCTTTTATCAATACTTGGGAGTCCACACTCCCATGAAACACAGAGACTCTCTAAACAAGTTAGCAGGAACGAGACTGACTAGAGACTCTGGAGTTAAGTGTTTTTACTTTCACGTGTCATGGTTAACACCACATTGAGAAATGCATTTTGGTCAACAAGAAAACAGTTACACAGGTCTAATGATTACTGACGCTGACTCTCCATTTAAACCTGGCCAGCATCTCTCTCCCCTTTCTGCTTTGCAGAACAGAACCTCTCACTGAATGCTATCCAGATAAAAAAGGAGCTTTAATGTGCCAACTCAAATATATATATAACTTAGCACAGATTTGAGACGTGGCCATTTAATATTTGATTAAGCTCTAAATCAGTGTCAAGAGAGAAACTAACAGAACTCCAACAAACGCACTGGAATAACTTAGCACATTTACAAGAACAGTTAAGGTATGGCTAAAAGCTGTACATTCCACCTGAAGCTCAGCTGTTACTACCAGCCATTCCCATTATGCTTATTCCTTCTCCCACGACTACCCATTGATGCGGTAATTCACATGGATTTCAGGTTTGATGTCACACACAAGAGACAAGAGCTGGGAGAGGACCACCTCCCGGTTCTTCTGGAAGTTCTGCTGGATAACGCTCATCTTTTCCTGGGTCTCTTTCTCAACTTCAGTGGTGCAGCTGCCATGAGATCCAAGTGCCTACAGAATAGCAAAGATAAAGAGAAAGCTCACATGTGAGAAATGTAACAAGGAGAACATTACACTTAGCTCTGTATTTTGTTCTTCTGATTGCCTCAGTAGTGCATCTCAACCATTAATCTTTGCTGAGGGAAGAACTGCACTGAAAAAACAGCAACGGAAAAAAGTACTGTTGGATTCTCTGCACAGATTTCCCACTGAACTTGCTCAAGTTTGTGTTTTATACACAGTCCATGCCTTTTGTCCTCTTTTATTCACTACCTGTCAGTTTAGAGCATGAGCTTCTGTAGAATAACTGAAATAAAAGTTCCTGCTGTACTGGTGACTGGAACCCGGAACCCCTGGGTACTACTGTACTGAAGAGCACAAGGAAAGTGATACCCATGATTTAGTTTAGGTGCAGTCTTCACATTATCCCACTGCTTCTACCCCAAGAGAATCTTTATAAAAAGCTCTGTCTTCCTACAGGACTGCAGGCCATGTGATACACACAGCAAGGAGACTCTCACAGCTTACAGTGCTCTTCTTGATCCATAAGCAAGGGCAGAAAAGCAAATGCCCTTTATAAGTGGGGGGAAAAAAGGCACAGAAGAATGCTGAGACCAGCACCCTGGAAATGCAATTCAAAGAGCTTCCTTCTCTGGTGAAGGATATATAAAACCAAATCAGCTGACAAGTAGTGAAGTCCACATTATTACCCTGGAATTGCCTGGTGTCATGTGCCTAGTGAACCCAGCTAACAAGGGATTGTAAAAGATTAATCTTGACCTCTCATGAAGGCAGGAGAACAGATGAGGTGGGACTGTGCTGACCAGAACATGGACAGAGGCAACACTGTCAGGGCATTTTCCAAAGACTTCAGGATTGACAGGGGCACACAGGCAGTGGAAACCACCTCGGCTGGTAAAGGGTATCAGTTCCCCACCTTCCAGGAATACTTCCTCTTGCTCAGGAAAACACACCTCTTGGGACACAGCAGGGAACTGTGCTGAGCAGAACACAAGCCTTGCATCTGCTTCAGAAAGACAGCAGCATCTGCGAGGCCAAGTTGTCTCTTCCACATTAGTGTTGTAGAAAACAGCTTGTCACAGGGGGAATGAGCTTGGTCTTTTTTGACACTGCTACATACAGCAGGTTTTGGGAGGCTGCCACCCATTAAGGCACCAGACAGTACATGAGCTTACTAAGTTAATTCCCTGCCAGTCAATAGTTCTGGCTGTTGAGATGCAATACACTGTGTTCTGATTCATTCCCACTGTTTTTTCCGTGGCATGTGGCAGTACATCAGAGGAAGGCAGTTAGGGAAGTACTCCTCCAGCAACATGTTCCACCCTGAGGGCTCCTCTCAGGGCAAGTAACCCCAAACACAAGGCTAAAGGGGCTGAGTAGGTAACAGTGAACAAGCTAGAGAACAAACCGCTGCTTCCTTGGCCTTGAACTCCTTCTCCCTCTGCAGGCGGTACTGCTCAATCTCTGCCTGGGCTTCTTCTTTGGCCTGCTTCAGCCTCCGATTCTTTCCTGTTTGCAAAGAACATGCCAAATGAAATAGAGAATAGAAAGGATTGAGTGTATTCCTCGTCTCCAGCTACCCAATGAACAACAATCATGAGAGCATTTGCTATCCCAACAGCTCCTTCTGCAGGAGGCATCAGCAAGATTAGTCAACCTCAGGAGCACGAGGTTACCCCATGTGCCAACAAGCCATCTCCAAGCTCACCATGCAACAAGCTTCCTCCAGCGAGAGGTCCTCTGGGCCAGCGGATGCCTTAGACAACTGTAGGTCTGGCCTCGCTCATGTGAGCACGCAACCTCTCTGAGTGACCCCAAAGAATACAGCAAAAAGAACACTTAAGTCTTAAGCTTTGTCTCAAGCCAATTGTGCAACTCAAAGAACTGGCCACTGCATCAACTTCCCCTCTTGGACTTTCCACTCCATTCTCCTCTTCGAAGCTATCATTAATGTAAGCTACAACAACCTGCTCCTTCCAACGCTACCAGGGATAGAGCTGCAAGACAGGGCGGGTTTCCATGGTGGTCTCCTGCTAGCGAGGCCCCAGGGGCCAGGAGCCACCGGCACGAAAGGTCCTCGC